TGTTTGACATGATAAAAAAAGGTTTCCTTGACTCCTGTGCTGGGAGAAAAGTGGGGTATAAATACATAGATTAAAAAAAACCTTATCATTAGAACTGGGGTGTATTTCAGCTTAACTGGAGGAGACCATGGAACTAGCTTGGTTTTAAATAAAGAAGTTTCCTGCCATCCCTTCTCTTATAACTACAGAATAATGCTTAAGTGAGTTAGCCATTTTTAAATCTCAGTGTTCAGATGTTTCTCACATGTGGTAATTACATCTTTTCAGGAAGATTAATAATTTCTGTTTGATTCCCTTTGTAAAATGTATAAGTGCAATGTGTACAGTTAGTCCCCAAGTTACAAAAATCTGTCTTACAAACGACTCATAGTTAAAAACCCGGGTGGGACAACTGGAAGTAAGAGAAATCGACCCCTTAGAAAGGAAATTCACTCCTAAAAGTGTTTTTATGGGGAAAGGGGGTCTCCACTAAACAGGCCCCTAGCCAGGATTTTGTTTTGGGGGGGGGCTGAATTTTGCCCCTCAACCCCCCCCCCCTCCCCCGGCTACATGCCTGCCACTAAAGCTTTATCACCAATCCTTGTTTCTACAATAAGCCATTTTTTTCAAAATCCAATTATCACAGGGACAGATAGTGAGGTGAAATCTTCTGAATAGGGGCACACACAGCAAAACAAACACCACAGGAGTGTTAACCCTTTCCTATGCTAGTCAGAGCTGATAGAGACAGAGACATAGATAGAGATATGGCTGGAGTTAGACTTGAACATTTACCCTTTCCCCCTTACATCCATATTCAACTTAAGAACAAACCTACAGAACCTATCTTGTTCAAGACTTGTGGACTCCCTGTGTATTGCATGGTGTGACCTGTAAAAATTGGACACATGGTCACTCTCTGGACTTGATATATTCACCCACCAGTTGCATCAGATGAAGTAGACTTGCGTCTACAAGAGCTTGTGCTACTCTTTTCTTTCACTTAGGCCCCTTCTACACTGTCATATAATCCAGATTATCAAAGCAGATAATCTACATGTAGATTATCTGCTTTGAACTGGATTATCTACTCCCCCTTCTATCCAGACAAGACAGAGGTCCTCCTGGTCAGCCGTGAGGCTGATCGGGATATAGGGTGGCAATCTGTGCTTGACAGGGTTACACTTGCCCTGAGGACACAGGTTCACAGTCTGGATTCAGCATTGACACTTGATGCCCAGGTGTTGGCGGCAGCCTGGAGGGCCTTCACACAGTTAAGGCTTGTGTATCAACTGTACCTTGAGAAGCTGCAACCGGACCTTGAGAAGCCTGATTTGTCCATGGTGGTCCATGCCTCAGTTTCATCCAGATTGAATTATTACAATGCACTCTACATGGGGCTGCCTTTGAAGACAGCCCAGAAACTGCAACTGGTACAAAGGTTGGCAGCCAGGCTTCTAACTGGAGCTAATGATACGGAGCACATGACACCCCCATTAAACCGGCTCCATTGCTTGCTGATAGGTTTCTGGCCCCAATTCAAGGTATGGGTTACAACCTACGAAGCCCTAAACGGTTCGAGCCCCACCTATCTTCATGATCACATCTTCCCCTATGAACTGGCACAGACTCGAAGATCTGCTGAGGAGGCCCTCCTCTCACCTCCACCGCCATCACAAGCATGGCTGGTGGGGATGAGGGAGAGGGCCTTCTCAGTGGTGGCCCCTCAAATTTTGAACACCCTCCCTAGGGAGATTAGGCAAGCCCTCACAATGTCCACTTTTCATAGGGATAGAAAACCTGAATGTTCCACCTTTCATTCAAGAATGATTAGTCCCTAGTTATATATGACCAGCCCCTAGGTCACTAGATAGTACTCTGTTTTGCACTTCACCCTCACCGCCTTATGGTATACTATTTGCACTATCCCTTGCCCAGCCTTTGTCCAGCTCACGCCCATCTTAGAAATCCAATCATTTGTTTTGTTGAATGTGGTTTGATGGGGTTCCTATGCAATCTGTTTTATTCTGTTATGTTTATTGTGTTTCATGTTGGTTGTTGTAAATTATGGTGGTCCTATTTTAATGTATTTTATTTTATGAATTGTTTTGTTTTTTTGTCCTGTGGATATTTTGTCCCATATGTAAGCTACCTCGAATCCCTTCGGGGAGATAGTGGCTGGGTATAAGAATAAAGTTATTATTATTTATTTTATTTATTTACTTTATTTATATACCACTTTTCTCAGCCCTCAGGCGACTCATTATTACTCTACACTGTTATGTAATACAGATTATCAAATCAGATAATCCACGTTATCTGCTTTGAACTGGATTATATGAGTCTACACTGCCATATAATCCAATTCAAAGCAGATAATATGGATTTTATATGGCAATGTAGAAGGGGCCTGAGTCTACACTGCCAAATAATTTAGTTCAAAGCAGATAACCTGGATTTTATATCACAGCATGGAATGGGCTTTAGTTAGACTCAAAGGTAATACAAGATCCCTCTACAAACATGAAATTCTGATAGTGTTCACTTTGTGCAGTTTAAATTTGGTATGAAGAAGAGTTGCCCCCCTGGTTATTCTGTTTCAGGTAAGTTCATGGAAATTAAAAACATATACTCTCAGTTTAAGATGAACAGTGTCCTCAGATTTTGTGTGCTTCTTTGCTGGAAAGACCTTTTCAGGAGATCAGGTTGGGAATCAGTTGTCATTAGTCAAGCACAGCTCAAGAAATGTTCCTCTCAGTGGCAAAACAGACAGTGAATTCCTTCACATATAGAAGCAAAATAGACTACCAAATGGATTTTGCTTCAGCACTGGCTATACAACATAGACCTTCAACAAGCCTGAAGGAAAGAGGTCCATTTCCAGCTAAACTAGTTGATACACAGCTTCCAAAACAGAAGAGAGTTCAAGATGAGCTGAAAAGGAGCTGCTATGGGTCCCTTCCACACTGCCCCTATATCTCAGGATCTGATCCCAGATTGTCTGCTTTGAACTGGGTTGTAGGAGTCTACACTGACAAATAATCTGAGATAAACAGATAGACTGCTGCTGAAGATTGCCTCCTTCTGCATCATGGCAAAGCTACCTTTGTTAATGAAAGCGAGAAAATTTATCCAGGGTAAATTGAGGGGACTACATCACATCTCAGAAATAGTTGATTGTCAGTAATAGTGCCTGTCTGATAAGACTCCAGGATGGGGCTTTCTGGCACAGGATAATCCCTGCATCTTATCCTAACAATTCATTCACAAAATGCTAAATTGGTAGGTCTTCATACCAGTTCTAAAATCCATGGAAGGTATTCATCCCTTTGCACCAATATGATCCACGGGGGTAAAAAAAAAGTTAGTTCAAGTTTCCTTTTTCCAACACTGACCACTTGGGCTGGTATGGGGCCATAACAGAACTGATCTGGGGTAAGATGTGGCAAGGCTGTTTTAATGTTAACCAAAATTGGAAGATAGTCCAAACTGTGGCTCAGAATTCAGGATGTCCTCCGTCTTTGAACAGTTGGGCCAGTCTAGAATGAACCTGGTTACAACTGTTCCCACTCCAATCCTTTGTTTCCTGGATTCAGGCAATTTAGGGAAATGATATGGTAATCACTGTCCCTCCCACCCTCCATGTCATAATGGTCTCTTCCAACACTTTGATTCTATGATTCATTACAAATTATGCTTGTGATTGTTGGGAGGAAATCATGACTATTTAACTGCTACAGAACTGTTTAATTTGCAGTGCAAGTATATGTACCAACATTTTAGGCTATTGTTGGGAGATCACCTACTACATTTAGAGATGGGGGAAACATATTTAACAATTTGATATAAAATGCTTTAGTGGGTTATTTTTTCTTTTCATGGTGATCTTACTTCTGAATGAATGATACCAAAATGTAGATGATTCTTTTACAGTAAAATGGTTATTCTTTTGATGTTCTATAAATAGTCAACTCCTGGCAATGTCATCAGTCCAATCTGTCCATGTAATGGTGAGATATAAAGAGACAAATATTTTGCAACAACGGAATATGATTGCTGTTTTTAAAAGAGCATGGATTCTTTCGGAATAAAGCTAATGGAAAGAGTAAATTTAAGTGAACACATTCAATCAATACAAACTCAGTGAATTGATAATTATATAAAACTTCCATTCATTCAATGGTTTACTCTAATTGAGACTAACAATTGGATTGAATACATGCATGCTTTATTCTATCTTCCAGACCAGAAGATCCAAAAGTAAATACAAAGAAAATTCCACTGTGAACCCGGTGGGGCTTGCTTCTGAATAAACATGCTTAGCATGGAGCTGTAAGATTGGATGCGATGTGCCACAATTAATACTCTGAAATTTGAGCTTCTCTCCTATTAAGAAATCAATATTAACTAGAATTCATTCAGATGTAAAAATATGCAAATTAGAATAAAGGAAATATTTCTGTCCAACTAAAACCTCTTTGCCATGGGAACTATATAATATGTATTTAATGAAATTAAACTTGATTTGAAACTAGTCCAAACATTGGCATTGAAATGAGGAATCAATTTCAGTTATTGAATTACTGAATGTTGACAAGGAAGTTACGATCATTGTAATGCATTGTATGCACAACAATTTACACACTCTTTGCTTATTAAAGCTAATGGAACCTCAACACCAAGTCCCAGATGTAGAACCACGATCACTGCACACCGCACACTGCACTTATGTCATAACCCTATATTCCTCCCGCAATATCAGCACTTTTAATCCTGTACCCACTACTCTGGCCGGCCCAGTTTTAATAATTGTCTGATGTATTGTTACTGTTTTGTTTATTTGCTTAACTGTTTTAATTTGCTTTGTACTGTTTTGTTGTATTGTTGTTCTGTGGCTTCGGCCTGTTGTAAGCCGCATCGAGTCCCTTGGGAGATGCTACCGGGGTACAAATAAAGTTATAATAATAATAATAATAAAGGCAAGTTGTTAGATCTTTAGTTTAACAGATGTTCAAATTAGGACACATTTACAGTGTGTTTCACAAACAACTCTACAGAAAGTCTACTTCTCATTCTATCCTCAGAATTCCTCAGAAGAGTTCAAGAACATGTTGGAAATACAAGGCCTGATTTTGTATTACTTTGCACTCAAAGCACATCTACCTTCATATTGAAAACACCTACAAATTAGTATTGTCTCTACTGTGAGATATTGTAGCCTTGCATTATGCCCCCAGGCCACATGATAACTAACCTTTTGATTGTTCGAGCTTTTCTGTGTTGCCAGAGGGGAGATGTGATGGAGTCAGAGAGCCAGTTTTCATATCTCACCACATGCCCCAGAAAAATAAAAATGTTTATTGGCATTACAGTTAAAATGAAAAATTCTTCATTCTGTCCATGTGAAGCATTCTTGCTGATGTCAGTGCCGTCAGGATTATGATTCTAGGGAGAAAGATTTATCTTAGAAATGGTTTCATTTCATTCATCCCAAAACTCTGTGTTCATTGCATAAAAGAACTCTGGGATTTTGAAGATATTTCATACATCTAGCTTACATGCCGGGATGGAAAATGTCTGCAAGCAATTTCCAGACTCAGTGTGTTAATTCAAAATCTCCAAAGATGCTTCTCCAGATCCAGGTTGCTTTTTCCCTCAACATCTGTCATATGCACTTTATCTTTTGGCATTAAACACAGGTGCCCCTTAGATATTCTGCAAATTGCACAGAAAGCTTATGAGCATCTTTTGGACAACTGTAGGAAACATTTAGATAATCCGATCACGTGGGTCTTTCTCAGGTTTTAAGCATAGTCTGTCATGAAATGAGTCTGAATCCATAAGGATCACAATGGCTTGGTTCACTGAAGTATTCTCCTAGGTGGGAGATGCTCATGGATAAATAGTTTCTATCCAGATGGGAGGACATTAACACTATACAGATTTAGCTATGGTTAAGGCTATTGATTTAAATGGCCTCAACCATGCCTAAATCTGTAATGGATTCAGGAATGTCCAGGGCAAAATAGTCAAATGCCACTAGACAGGTGGGAACTACAGACAGATGACCTTTGCATATATGGGGAGCTCCTATCTTCACCAGATCTTATGGATTTGCGCTCTCCCAACATAAAAATGCTCCTCTGGGATGGGAGGTGGCTGGTTGTATGTCTGAGATGCCAGTGTTTGCACTGAGGAGAGATGACGCTCAGGAAAGCAATCCTAAAACGCCTGGACAGTAAATTGTAGATGATGGGATTCACAGCAGAACTCAAATAGAAGAAAACACCTAGGAAACAAAAACAATGACATAGAGATTTGGGGGGCGGGGGGAGAGAAAGAGAAAGAAAGCAAGATTCAGTAAAGGTAATGTCTTGTGGTCCAGTAACTTCATAAATAAGTTGGTACTTTAAGGTACATTACCTGTTCTTAGGCCCTGTCTACACTGTCATATAATGCAGTTTGAAACTGCATGGAACTGAACTTTATGAGCTTACACTGACCAGACAATGTAGTTTCAAACTGCATTATAAGGTAATATAGAAGGGGTCCCAAAGAAATATTAGGAATGGAAATACCATAGGTTTCATTGAGCTCAATACTCCTGATGAAAATAGCAGTTTTCTTTACCTGTTAAGATTTGTTACAAGCAAATGGCCACATTCTATGTATATGTTACAAGCTATGTGCTTTTCCTTAATCCCCATGATAGTTTCCTGAAGGGGAACCTATGATGGGGATTCCTTGGAAACATTTTGTATTTCCGAAGGGATTTTGACTTGTCTTCCTCTGGGACAGAAAGAGCTATGACTTATTCAAGGTCACTGAGTGGGTTTTCTTGGTTGAGTAGGGATTCAAACTCTGGTTCTCAGTTTCATAGTACAAGGGCTAAACCACTACACTAGAGGTTCTCAAACTATAACCTATGGGTTGGATATACCCTGCCAAGGTGATTTATTTGTCCCGCACCATAATTTTCCCCCACCCCCCACCACCTGTTTGCTCAAGCCTTTCTCCCTCTCCTGTCACTGCCCAAAGCTGTTTCTCTTTGTCTCCCTCCCAGAGCCTTTTGCCCTTCTACCCCTCATTGCCCAGAGCTTTTTTCTTTCCCAACAGTCAGGGGCCACTCTGGGAGTGCTTTGATTGTACTTTTCCTGCATGACAGAAGCGAGTTGGATTGGATGGATCCAGGGGTCACTTCCAACTCTAGGATTCTATGATTGTGTTTTTTTCTGCACAGTAGAAGGGAGTTGGACTGGATAGCTGTTGGGATTACTGCTATTATTGTTGTTGTTGTTGCTGTTGTTGTTATTATTATTATTATTATTATAGAGGCTGGGTGGCTGGTTCTCTGTCGGGGTGCTTCGATTGTGTTCTTCCTGCATGGCAGAAGGGGGTTGGACTGGATGACCCCTGGGGTCTTCCATTGCAATACTGTTAAGTTTATGTCGGTTAAAATTGTTCTTCATTTTAAATATTATATTGTTCTAGGGGACCACCACTGGGACCGCATTTACCAGCTTGTGCCAGAATCTTTGCAGTTCAGTCTTTAAATCCTCATATTTTCCAGTTGCTTCTCGCCAATTCTGCTGTCGCCTTGGATTGCAACATCAGTGACACACACTCCCCCCCCCCCCCCCCCCCCCCCCCCCCACGATCTTGAGATCAGGAGCATTGTGCTCCAAAACTCTTGTTAGTCTGAATTTGGAATGCCCAGAGTAGTTTGATTTGTTCATTTTATGTAACTTTTTCAGGCTTGTGATCCCAACAGTTTTTTGTTGCAGACAGACGATATTTGTGGCACAAGTTCCAGTGGATCATCTGAGCAACAGTATTATGCCTCTGTTTATGGTCCGTCTGTCGATCTTTTAGTAGCTACTGAGTATGTGATCTATTGTTTCATCTGCTTCCTTACAGAGTCTACATTTGGATTCTGTAGTTGACTTTTCAATTTTGGCTTTGATGGCATTTGCTCTAAAGGCTTGTTCTTGGGCTGCAAGAATTAGGGCTTCTATCTCCTTTTTCAAAGTTCCACTTGTGAGCCACATCCATGTTTTTTCCTTGTCAATTTTGTTCTCATTTTTTCCCCAGGAACTGTCCATGGAGAGCCTTCTTTTGCCAGTTTTCTCTTCTGCTCTGCATTGTACTTTTACGGTATCCACCCACTCTTTGTCTTTTGCAATTTAAGCATTTTCAGCTATTGACTTCCATCAGTGTTGGTTCTTTTGCTGGTTCCTGACTGAACCATGACTGATATTGTGAGAGTTACAGTATATAGTAGTGGAATGCAAAAACCGATCTTGAGCAACTCCTGGAGAGTTGATGACAGATTTGTGTCTTTTTGCATAGGTCTTTTTGCTCTCACCCCCACAATCCATAAAAGCTCACTAGCTTTTCTGGTTCTTCATATTTCTATAATTATCCTTACAGAAGTTTTCCCCTTTTGTATAAAATTTGCATTTAATATTTCTCTTACAAAAAAAATGTCTCCACTGTTCACAAGTGATGAGAGGTAAATAACTCATAGGTAGGAGATGCAAAACCCTCTCTCTACATGATACTTCTCCATCAACATTATTTTCCTCAACAGCACTGAAGGACACTGTCAGATTATGGAGACAAAGTAGATAAAATATATTTCAAAACAAATGGCGTTGTTGAAACATTTGGTTAGGGTGAAGATTCATTGGCCCATTTTTTTAAAAAAGCTCTCCCAATTATGATTATACATTAATAGCTTTACAAACCGGAAAGGAGCTATCAGGAAACAAGTAAGTTGGCAATCATTAATATATTCAGAATCAAATCAATTGAGTTTACTGGGTCATAACAAAAAATAAGCTATTATTTCACTTAAATCAGACTTTAATGGGTGCTTACATTCTAGATTCTGGTTTTTTTCCCTTGGCATATAGTGTTAGAATGTGGAACAGTAAAAAATGTTCCTTCTGCTTTGGCTCATGTTTTGCAAACAACTCTCCCATTCCAATGCTTCCAGCAAAAGATCTTTGTGTTCTCTTGTGGTATCAGCTTTCCCCCCAGAAGCTTACATGAAATCACATGTACAATATTTTGGCCAACATCTTTAGGTTTTACATTAAAAGTTAAAGTGATTCAATACTTCTAGCCATTAGTTATCGGTATAGGACAAAAATGCAAAGCGGATACCTCTTTTTTGCTTTCTAATGGGATTCCCTGCTTGGCTGAGAAATCCTGGAGGAGATGTCTCATTTTGTTTATTACCCTGTATATATTAGAAATGGTCTAGTAGCAACAATAATAGCTTTTGCATATTTTCTGAGTAAACATGCTGATGTTGGCTTACAATGACATTTGGAGGTCAATCTTCTCTTAATTACCAGGAATCAAGCAACCAGCATTACAACACTTTCTGCTAATGTTCAGAGTTTCCCAAAGATTTGTACAAGTTTAGATTTTGTATAATTAATTCTCACTGAAGTAATCCAGGAGAGAAAGATGCAGCATTAATTACCAAAATAAATGATTTCCCCACCTACTGCAATACAGGAGCACAATGCATGCATCACATATCTGGGAGCAGGTAGAGCTCAGAGATGTTATGTGTATGTGGAGTGAGGCATACGTTTCCAATTAGCATGATCATTTTGGCTGAAGGGACTCTCTGTTTTGTAGTCCAGAAAATTAACTTGCTGAGAGCAGGAAAGGCTCTCATCTGGCTGGGAATGATGCAAAACCTCAGCATAGGTGAATGGCTACTGCATTCTGTGTGTATATCTCTCCCTGGGGTTCATTCCCTTTTTTCACCTTATTTGGTAACGCTCCAGAAAACAGACAGATGGATTTGTTAATTTCAGTTACTTGTGTAACTCACTCAGGTCATATAATCAGACCAAAAAGTGAAAGGACCTCTTTGCTCAGAGCAACATCTCACCTAACACATTCCTTCATAGAATCATAGAGTTGGAGAGACTTCCTTGCCATGCAGGAATGTGTAATGAAAATACTTACAAAGGAAGTACAAGATTAGCTTGTCACCCTTTAGTGTCTGGGCTGCTTCATCTTGCCAAGACTCATTAATTTTTTCTTTGAGAAAGTGGAGGTGGTGAAGCACTTTGTATATTAGAAATAACTTATAAAGTATACTATAGGTCTTCAAATAAAATGGCAAATGTTATCATTTGCCTGTTGGAAGATACCAGCATAACCCAACAGAACTATTCCCTCACTGGAGCTAAAATTTCCTTGTTAGTATGTAGACAATTTGTATATTGCTGTAAAATGTTCTCAATACTCAAGACAGCAAATTGATGCTATTATGTAGGATGGTCACATTTATAAAGAGGACATTCACCTGCTGAAATTCTAGTTCTCTACAACTATACAAAATTCAAGAGCCCTGTATTCTTTTTAAAGTGGTCTCCTTGCTAACATTTTAAAGGGGGGGGGGGATAATATCATTTGATATTCCGAGGATGTAAGACTAATTATTCATAAACAAGAAATTGTGTTTGTAACATTTTTATGTAACAGTTGACATTAAAATGATAACTTTTTAATATTATGTATCAAGTGGCAAGGAAGCCACTTAAATATATATTTGATCATATCTGCCTCAGAAGGGTAACATTATTTTTATTTAGTCATATTTTTATAACTAAAAGTTTTGCCTTTGATAGATTACCCATTAGACAGAGCACCCCAATGAAAGGACAAATTTTGTTGCTGTTGTAATTTTATTTCCAGAGAAGTGGAGAGGTAATTAAGAGATTTTTCCTCCTATTTTAACCAATGTTGCTAATAATAATAATAATAATAATAATAATAATAATAATAATAACAACAACAAGAACAACAACAACAACAACAAAGGCACAACTCTATGATCCAAATGATTCACTGGAACTTATGTCATGAGTACCACCTGCCAGCAGTAAAGAATTAATGGGATCATAAACCTGCAAAAGTAGTGGAAAATGAACACGCAAAAATACTGTGGTACTGACAATGTTTTGGAACAAAATACACCAGACATCATTGTGGAAAAGAAAAAAGTTTGGATTATGGATGTCTTCATACCGGGTGACAGCCGAATTGAGGGAAAACAACAGGAAAAGCTCAGTCGTTATCAAGACCTCAAAATCAAACTGCAAAGGCTCTGGCATAAACCAGTACAGGTGTTCCCAGTGGTCATTGGCACACTGGGTGCCATGCCAAAAGACCTCAGCTGGCATTTGGTAACAATAAACATTAACCAAATCACAATCTGTCAGCTATAAAAAGACACCTTACTTGAATCTGTGCACATCATCCAAAAATACATCACACTATCCTAGATGCTTGGGAAGTGTCCAACTTGTGATTTTGTGATACCAAATCCAGCATATGTATATCTTATTTGCTGTGACACACTATGTTTTTGTGTCATTAAAATAATAATAATAATAATAATAATAATAATAATAATAATATTCCACCCAATCTTTCTGAGGGGATTCAGGGTGGATTCCAGCATATACAAACACAAAGGCAATAATTCAATGCCTAGAAGCAGTGACACACAGGTACACAAATAAAAGTAAAGGCTTCCCCTTTCGTCTCCACCTCTGGAGGGTGGTGTTCATTTCCATTTCTAAGCTGAAGAGCCTGTACTGTCCGTATACACCTCATAGGTCATGTGGCCAGCATGACTGCATGGAGCACCTTTTACCTTCCTGCCAATATGATTTGGTGGGTAAGCATACTGGGTACTATTTACTGCTTGGCCTCAGGTAGCTTATCTTGAACTGATTCCCCATTTCATTCTAAGTAGAAGAAAAATTACCTGACACCACATGGATTAAGTTGAAAATGTTGGCAAGAGGTTCTGTCCAGTTTACGACAAAACTGTAGAAAAGTCGGTCTGTATGAAATGGAGCCCAGCATATGCCAAAAACAATTACCAGGACAACTGTCAGAAACAATAGAGCAGAGAAAGGTGACAGAAAGAGAAAGAAAGAATGAGAAGAGAGGTCAACACATATAGGTTTTTACTCTGCTGTATTGAACCAGGTAATTCAGTAAAAGAAATGAACAATGAACACCCCAGATGGTTTCCCAGGTCATCAGATAGCAATATCATGTCATCCTCTTTTATAACATTTATTGTCTTCCATTGTTTTCTGCCCACAAAAGATAAAATACAGTTAAAGTTTAGTTCTGTGCTGATATTAGTCTGTTGTTAATAGAGTGTGATAGATTTTTCCCCCTTTTCATTACTATATTGTTTTCCAGATAAATTACATTAGTCTCGAAAGCAATTTCTTCAGCATTCTGGTCAACCTACATACAATGGCAGGTCAGGATGCATTTCTCAGTTCCCTTTGGAAACTCTTCAGACTTCCTTTGGAATTAAGATAGGATATAGGCTTTAAAATGTATGAACAAATAAATAAAAGTAAATAATCAAGCAGGAAGTTGGACATGCATGAAATAAAGAATGTTTATCTAATCCCTTCCTATAATTGGGTGTTCAGAGATGTCCCAAATAGAAATTGTTTACTATTTGGTCTTACATGACAAATGTAGTTATGAATAAATAGCTACATATCCTCTCCTGACCTAGTCTCCGAAACCTGTCTCAAAAGTCAGCAGCTGCCCTGAGCAATGGAGGTCTGTCCTGCTAGTGATCAGAGCTCAGCATGGCAGGACATTTGTGATTCTAGCAATAGTGCCACAATAATAAATATGAACATAAAACAGTTTTAAATGCATAAGTTGAGCTTACATGCTAGTCACTGATGAATGGATGCCTGCCCAAATTTTCAGGTTCATGTTCTGTCTCACTATGGGTACATCTACACAATAGAATTTGACACCACTCAATCCTATGGAATGATGAGAATTGTAGTTTTACAGTGCCTTTCTCTGCCAAACAGTACTGGTGTCTCACCAAACCACAATCCCAGGTTTTCATAATATTGAGCCATGGCAGTTAAAGTATTAAACTGCATTAATTCTACAGTTCAAAGTCAGCCTATGTTGCTGTAGTTACAAATGTGATGCAGTACTGAACATATTATTTTAGAGAAAATTGCTAAAATGTTAACAGATCAATCATTTAATAATCAATACTGCATGGAATGCTGAATCCTAACAGTTATCTCATTATGATTCTCAAGATGAATCTATAAAGTTTCCTGAAAATACAAACTAATCGTTGGCTCTGGAATTAACAATCTGGTCACATTATCTAACAGCATTCTGATGAAAATGCCTGAGTGGAGGCATTGTATTTTTATTTTGTTGATTTCTTTATTCACCCTTTTCCCCCAGATGGGACCCAAATCAGATTCCAAAAATATAATACTACATTATATTAGAACTGGTCTTGAGTACCCTAGAGTAAAGAAGAAGCTCCAGTGCCAATGTCTATCTGCTCCTTTTCTCCTAAGTGCTGCAGAACACCTGACTCTAGTGGTTGGGGAGGTGGAGCTGTGTTTGCAAATGCCTCCTTCAGGGTCATAACCATTTTCTATGGTTAGCAACAATTACAGCAATGCATACCACCAACAAGAAACTAGCTACTTGTGTCTTGGCCCTCTCCTTCTTAAACAGTGGATCATAGAGGTTTGGTTCTAAAATCCCTAGGTACCAAAATCCATATGTGCTCAAATTCAATTGCACATAATAATTCTGTAAAACAATGGCCCATATTTAAAGTAGTGATCTCAAACAAAGACACAGAGAGCCTGAGGATCTGTGAAATTGTAGGAGGCTCCAGCAGGATATGTGTATACATTAGGGCTGGGCGGTTTCGTTTCGTTAATTCGTAATTCGTTAATAATTCGTTAATTTTTTCAATTACAAAACGATAACGAACCATTCTGGAGCAATTTTTTTAAAAAACGAATTTTTAAATAGTTTTGTAAATGCTTCGTATTTCGTTATTGTATTCGTTTCGTTATTGTTTTGAGGTCGTTTCGTTATTATTTCCGCATGTCTGGGGCAAGTTTTATGGTTGTTTTTTGTTTAATTAGTGAAAAAAAATTATAATATCACACCAACAGTCAACAACAGAGGGAGAGGGAAGCTTCAGAAGTTTTTGGAGGTTTTTTAGCGTATTTCGCGGTCGTGTCCGCCATTAACGAATCGATTCGTTATTGTTTCGGAAATCGATTCGTTAATGTTTTGTAATTTTTTTCACATTTACGAAATTTCGTAAATATCGAACTTTTTAAAAGGAAAATTTTGTAATTATTTTAAATAACGAAACGCAAAAACCCCCAAAAAACCAATCGATTTTAGAAACAAATTTTTCCGTTGTTACCCAGGCCTAGTATACATCAATGTAGTGCTCAGCATGCAGAAAAAATAAGGTTTGCTTTTTGGGATTTTTCCCCCTGAATGTTTTCAATCCATGATTGGTTGGATCTGTGGATGTGGAACTCATGGGTATGAAGCTCAGACTGTATTAAAGATGAACAAAAATGTTTGGCTGTAGTTCAGCCTCATTCCTCTCCTTCTAGATTTTGACACAATTAAGGGTACACAGAGGTATAATGCCTATCTGCTCAATTATTCTTGAACACTTTCCCCTTGGAAATTCACAATACCCTTTAGTTTGAGCATGTGAACATTGATATAATTCATGTTGTTTGATTAGCTATCTGATGGGAGATTGTATGCTACTTGGAGATTCCAGTTATATCAATGTACTTTTAATAACTTTGATGGACACCACCAGTATTTGATGATGTATAATGAGAGAAAATAAACAATCTTATGCATGCTTTTTAAATAATACAATAATAATAAGCTTTATTTATTATGCCACCATCATCTCCCCAATGGGGACTCTAAGCAGCTTACATGAGGCCAAGCCCAAATAACAATTACAATAAAGAAAAACCAAAAACACAAACCGGAAACACGAACAATAAACAATAACAACATAATTACATAAAACATATGAATACATAATAATATAAAAATAAAAAATATGCACAGGCACAATAATAATGGGTGGGCTACATGTAGTGATTAAAAGGAAAAACAAATTAAAGGTAGAAAGTATTCAATGGGGCTTCATCCTACATAAGTGTGCCCAAGATTACAACCAAGCTCTCCTATCCACAAAATGCCAAGATGAGCCAAGAAGCCAAGACTGGTTTGTGGCTAGTGAAATCATAACTAATGAGCTCTCTGGAGCACATGTTCTTCTGCCAGATTGGAACAACATTAGATGGCCAGAATAGGATGGCAAAAGTTCAGAAAGAGAACATGTATCCATTTTTCCTTTCCCATTTTTCTGAATCCTAATGAAGAATTGGTCTCTGACACCTATCTGGGTGAAATATAACTGACTCCCAAAAACTAGCCTTTTACATTGCCCCCTTTTTACATTAATTCAGAATTATAAAACACTATTCCGATACTTACATAGCATTTTAGTAACAGATTTTCTCGATGGCCTTTTAATGTTCATTCCCATTTCACCTGCTTCCAAGGAGCGGTCTCCTCTCAGCTAATAACAGGGAGAAAAGTTATGAAAACTAATATTGGAATTTATCAGATGACATCTTTAATTCACAGATGGATTCAAGCTGTCATGCTTTGCTACTATTCTGACCAATTACTATGGAGACAACATAGAAGATAAAGATGAATCGGCTATGTATGACAATCTCCAGTCCAAGAAGATGCTGTTACAATATATCGCTCAGTAGGTGACTTTTTGGTGGAAAGACTTGTTAATGAAAATAATGCTTTTAACTGGAAAAAAGAGATGTTGAAAACCACCAGACTGAGACCAAACAAATGCTGAAATGAGGAGAATCAGAGAGAAACAAGTTCATTATGTCAATCCTCAACACTGGAAGTTGTCAGAAACATTGGCAGTGATAATAAAAAAGGGGGTAGATGAGTTATAGGTTGAAGATTTGGAGATGTGTGACTGGAAATAATTATTTAGAATTACAAGGATGTTGTAAAAGGCTTTTTTTAAAATCACACAAAACATACTGAAAACCATGAAAGATGAAGGAAAGAGAACAGTATTAGATGCTGTACACATGATCATAAACCAAAAGAAAAGTACAGGTAGGCTTGTTGGATATAACTAAATTTTGAAATCTTTAGGCAACTAAAAGGTCACAAACAATTGTGGAAGCTTTGGTCCTAACAAAATAAGGCACAGTAAGTCCTTTTGCTTTCAGGTGAAAATAGAGCAGTTTTGATTCATCCCAACAACTGTTTTCAGCTAAGAGGAAGGAAAATTAAAAATATCATCCCTGAATTTGATCTCATTGAGCACATGATAGGTATAATGCACTCTATTGGTTTAATGTATAGTACACTCAAAAGAAAAGTTCATATTATTTTCTAATTTGAAAGAGTTATATAAAAAGCAAATGTAAAATGGCTGATATAGATCTTCTAGGCACCATTTTGTTTGTTTCTCTGTGGGTAAGAATTCTGAATCCTGTTGTGGAGTCCAAGGGTATCTCCATTTAATCTTTTTCCTAATGATGGAAAAGGTTGTTGAAACAGAGAGAAAAACTAGAAAATGTTGTATGCCAGAACAGGAACACCTCTGTTTTTAAACACCACACCAGTGTAGAAAAATCAGCAAGTAATTTATTGAAGAATATATGTAAACAAAGCAATAGAAATTGTAAAAACAGTATAGTTCAAAGCAATGTTGTTCAAAGATAAAAGTCAGTCCATAAATATCCAGGTAACAAGGTAAAAACCTAATATCCAAGGTACAGAATCCATGCAACAAGGCAGCATGAAAATCCAATGAATAGACCAGGAACAGGGATGGGTGGTGTGTGACAATGTTCTGAGGGTAATGTGCTGTTATTTATCAGGGTTTTGGCCATTTAAGCCACTGGACTGTAAGACCTGTAATTGTGCTTCAATGCAATGTAAGTTTGATATGTTTGAAATGTTTTAATATGTTTTAATCATTTGAAAGACTATTTTAATTGATATGTATGTGTTTTTTACAGTTTTATAATATTGTGTTCTATTGATATTGTTATTGTCTGAATCTGGAATTGAATTATTGCCATCGTTTGTAAGCCACCCTGAGTCCCTCTGCGGGGTGAGAAGAGCAGGGTATAAGTACATTAATTAAATAAATAAATAAATAAATAAATAAACAAACAAACTTGGCAAAACTTGAAACATGAAACTAGAAATCCACTTGGAGAAACAAGACTGTCATGAAGTATCAGCGTTGATGAGACTAAAGTCAAACTTTCCCTGGCATCAATATAAAGCCTTTCCTGGCCCCTGAAATGAAAGGAAAGCATTTCACTTCCCCTTACAACCAGATAAGGATTTTTTATCTCTCTTCTCCTGCAGATGAATTGACCTTCGTAGAGCCTGAGAACGATGCCTCTGTTTACAAAAGTCTAGTTCATCCTCATTCAATTCTGCACCTGGCAAATCATCCTTAGAGAAAGACTGCTGTGGCCCGTTCCCAGGAATTTGTCCTGATGCATCTGCAGGAGAAACACTCCATTCATCAGACATCTCAGGTCTCTCTCCTGGGTAAGATTCAGTACCGGTAAAACCCCCAACCTCATTGACAACAGACGCAAGCCCAGAGAAACCCTTATCCCCATTGACATCAGACACAATCACAGACTGAACTACAACAGAAAAAAAGAGAAAAACTAGAAAAAATGTATTCTAAAATAATCAAGTAAATTTATATAATAACTGTGCTTGCCTACTGACTGGTTCTGATCACACTTTTTTCAAAAATAGTGAAGCAAAGTGAAGTTGGGTTCATTTCTAGTAAACATGTCATACAATGGACTGATCTAGTTTGTTTGTCTTGTTTATTATTTCAGTTTCTTAACTGGTCTCAGTGTTTGTGTATAATGAACAGCAAAACATGTAAATGTTAAAAAACAGTCCAAACCCAATTTTATCCTTCCAATGCAACTCAGAAGCCAATCATAGCCAATTTTACTTGGAAGAACATGCAGCCCCCTTGGATTCGGAATAAACTCAGTAAAATGCATTTAAGACCAAATAAAATCAGTTTAACTCATAACATGTTTCATTACTTTCAGCTACAACCGGGGGGGGGGGGTTCCTTCTACCAAAGAACAAATACATTGACTCAGAGATAAATGGAGTGCATGTCATACAATGGACTGATCTAGTTTGGAGGCTGCCCAGTCAGTGGAATGGATGCCATAAAAAAAGATTTGAGAGCAACATTAAAATTAGCTTTGAAGAATGATACAACATCATACAGAGTTAACAACCCCTAGAGAAGCTCCAAGTAAAACCAGAATTACAATTTTAATCATACCTAATGTTTTCTGAATTATGCTTACCATTTAATTTAAATTTAAATCTCTTATAAAATCAAAGGAAGCAAGGAATAGATCCCAATTATACCTATTACCAACTGGAATTTCTGATGAAAGAAATACAATAATAACACAAAAGCAATTACTTATTTCTGTTTATGGTGATTAATCACTCTGTAGGTGGTAAAATATCTTTATTGAATTTGCAAAGATGGTAAGGCATCATTTGTTTTTTACAAGGTAGAAGCTGTATCTTGTTAAATGGAGAAAAATATATAGTAGGGCAGCATTCTTTGAAAGTGGTCAAGAAGAAATTGGCCAAGAAGAAATTAAGATGACACTTTCTGTCTTGCAGCACAATAGACATTTATGCTTCCCTATTTCTCAAAGTTTCAGTCTATTTAATTTATCACATCTCCTATACTTTTAGGAAGTCATTTAATTATGGTCAATGTAAATTGACCTGTCATTGATCGCCTTATCATGTTATCCAGCTGTGGACTACACACATCAGAGAAGTGTTTTAATTCATTTTATTTGAGTACATGCTGAGTTCCATAAAGATGCAAAGCCATTAATGACTGCCAAATTAACTCAAAGCTTCTGTGCTTATTTTGTTGTCTCAGGTGCCATTTATTCTAGCAAAAGCTTTGAAAATACTTCATTGTCTTTTTTTCTCCTGTGTCCCTGGGAGATAATAAAGTTATATTTTTATGTTACATTCTCACATGATATATTTGCTAGTATACTGGGGTTTGATCTGCTAGTATACTGGGGTTTGATCTCTTGGGGTTTGATCTGCTTTGAGTATGTCGTCATATTTGACATACCCTTTTAGTCCTTTCAGGAGTGTAACATTTCCTGTTTATTTTTGCAGTACCCATCTATCTAGTCTGTAACTTCTTCTTCTTGTCAAGCCAAAAGCCAGAATCCAAGTCTTCTCAATCATTATGCTTTGACTTTCCTTTCCTTTCCTCTGATTTTGCTCTTCCTTCAGGGCACCCCTCCTTCATTCTGTCTTCTCTCTCTGTTTATATTTGTGTGATCCAGATATTTGACAAGTTACATAGTATTAAATAATATAATGATTTATTATTTATTTACTTACTTATGATATTTCTATCCTGCCTTTCTTGAACCCAGCGTGTTCAAGGTGACTCAAGGTGACTTACAACAAGGCAGCCACTTGATGCCTTAACAATATACACTTAAAACCATATTTAAACAGAATTAAAAAAATACATACAATAAGGCCTTTAAAAAAACATATAAAATCAATATATAAAACCAATACAACCACTGTTAGCCTTTTTGTCCAAAATCATTGTTTAAGCTATTCCAATATTTAATTTCACATAATTTTATGTTTGTCTATTGCACTAGATTTTAAAAGCTTGTTCAAATAGTCACGTTTTCACTTTTTTTACAGGAGGTCAAGAGAGAGGGGATTGATCTAATATCCCTAGGGAGGGAGTTCCACAGCTGAGGGGCCACCACTGAGAAGGCTCTGTCTCTTGACCCCACCAGTCATGCCTGAGAAGAAGGCGGGACCAAGAGCAGAGCCTCTTCAGATTATCTTAAGCTCCTAGATGGCTCATAGGGAGAGAGATGTTTGGACAGGTAAACTGGTCTGGAACTGTTAAGGGCTTTATAGGCTGAATGATGTTAGGTGATATGATAATCTGTCCATTCAGTATGATTTTCTATTCATGCTTTCTCTAATTTTCTCTATTTGGGCAAAAATCCTAGCTGGGAGTAAAGCAATAAATCACTATTGGGAAGGGGAGTTAATTCTAACTGCCTGGGGTTCAGGACTGATCAGGGAAGGGTGGGGGGAAAGGAAGACAGTAAAAGCCCTGTAGGTTTTTCTTTCTCAGCATGCTGGAAGAAAAAAAAAGACTACTACCATTGAAGTAATGATCCTCTGCCATCAACTTTGCTGGACTGGCACATTATCCAAATGCCCGATCACCATCTCCCAAAGCAGTTGCTATACTCCCAACTCAAGAATGGAAAACAGAATGTTGGTGGACAGGAAAAGAGATTTAAAGATGGGTTTAAAGCCAACATAAAAAAACTGTGGAATAGATATCGTGAACTGGGAAGCTCTGGCCCTTTAGTGTTCTAACTGGAGATCAGCTGTTACCAACAGTATTGTGGAATTCAAAGCAGTACGAATGGAGGGAGA